CTTGAACTACTCATCTGTGGCATGCATATCTGTCAGGAAAATTGACCAAATCTAAGTTTAAAAACTGTGATATTTCATTAAAATTACTCATGTCATTCAACAAAAAGCAAAAACAAACAAAGAAATTCCACTAAATAACTAAATTCTGTGCAACTCTGCATAACCCAGAAGTCATGAGCACCCCAGGTGGGACCAACAGTCACATGACAACAGTTCAGGGACTGTTTGGATGAACTGCTGGATGTGTTTCCACAGAGCAGAGAGGACACAAGTATGGGAACAAATCAGAGAAATTAAGAGCAAAATAAAACAAAGCTGAATAATAAAATAAATGCAGCATGGCTCAGAAACAGTGCACAGAGGAGCAAGTTGTCAGTAAGTTGCTGGAAAATACATTCTGCATGATGAAGTGTCTTTGTATAGTTGGTGTGAGAGAAGGACAATTAATGCTTAATTTGTAGAGGTTGTAAAAATGTAAATCGGAAAACATGCAGAGTTTGGTAGAGCGGATTGTCCTCCAAGGTTGGCGGTTTGATCCCCCGCCCCTCCACAGTCGACGTGTCCTTGGGCAAGACACTGAATCCAAAGTTGCTCCCAATGGCAGACAGCACCTTGAATGGCAGCTCTGTCGCCATTGGTGTATGAATGTGTGTGAATGTGGGTGAATGAGAAAACATTGTAAAGCACTTTGGATAAAAGCGCTGTATAAGTGCAGAACATTTACCATTTTGAAAAATGTTGAACATCTTGATTGCAGGTTTTTCAATTTTGGTAAAATGAAGCTTAAATTCAGCTTTGCATTTAAGTTTTGCTGCATTTTAAATATTTGCTCTATTAGTTTTTGCTGTGGGAGCATCAACAAAACAAAACAAACCCCGGTGACTGGTCGGTCCAGTAAAATGAAAAAAAAGATCTCCGAGCTGAGTAGATTTCCACATGTATGTGGTGGTGTGTGGTTTAGCTGCTATCCCATAATGCCTGAAGGCGTGACTCGTCCAGCGTGGTCTCTGTGAGAGTCTTTGGACAGCATTTGCCTCACAGTTGATACAAATTGGGACAATCAGGAAACGTTGATTCCTTAAGAATCTGGGCTTCAACCTTTGACTTTGTGTGCTTCCTCTTCACACATTATTGTTGTTGTTTCACAGATGAACCGTTATGTTGTGGATTTTATTATCAGGCCTGTGAATCTATTTCTAGTTTTGTGATTAGGAAAGCACATTGCATAAAATAAAACTACTGAATAAATGTACTTGTTTTCTTCCCCTTAATTAGTCTAATAATGCATTTTTATGCTCATATTAAGTGAGGTTTTAAAGCTTAAGATAAGAAACGTGTCTGCCGAGTGTTGTGTTCAGATGATGTTCTTCGGTTAGAGCTCGTCTTTTAGAAGTTTTCTGCTTTTAATGTTTTTTGGGGTTTTTTTCATTCCAAATTTTAACTGTAGAAAATTGGTTATTTCACATTTCCAGTCTGAAACACAATAAAGTTGACAGGCCACAGCGCTATATGCAGAGACACGGACCCCTCTGGGCATTTTCTGAAATGTAAACCAGCTTCATTTTTTTTTCTTTAATTACTTAAAACTGACACTGCTTGAAAATATGTAACATAGAGCACACTTGTGTTTCTGATCCAAGGTGAAAAGCAGCCGTTGTGCAGTCAGTTACTAATTCAGTTGAATCTCGAGGGAGATCCTTAAAGCCTCCTGCATATTCCATTAAGCTGTTCATTGTTATTCTATACCTGATTTTAATTAAGAATAGTAGGAACCCAACTGTGTGATTTAAGGGTATGTCTGTGTGCCTTTTTGCACTCGTTTTTTTTTTTTTTCCAGTCGTTTGTAGCTCTTTACAGCAGACTTCTTTCCTGCTAATCTGCATCCAGTGATGGACACATTCATTCATTAGCATTCATGTGATTATAAGCTCTGCTGGCAAAGCAGAGCAGATGATGTTGGGTTTTGGTGACTCTAACTCTCCACAAAGGAGGCATCTGGTGCCTCGACTGGGTTAACCGCTTTATTCTGTATGAAAATGTTATTTGGAGCTGCAGTAACGCCGGTATAGTCACATTTATGCTGTTTGAAATGAGCAAAAGAAACTGATTTCTATTAGAATAAGCTCCCTCCACTCTTGCATTTTGACCACGGAGACGTTATTGCTCTCCTGGAATCATTTGGCCTCATCACACTCTGGTAATACGAGTTGAGATTGGCAGTACAGCACTTCTGCTCAATAGATGGTGCTGAGCAAGGGTGTGGAAAATGAAGCTCCCACCCAGTCGATTTAAATGGAGAATTGTGATTAATTGGAATCGATAGCGTTGGCCCGACACTCACCAGTTCCCATCTACAATGCCCCGCCTCGACCCACGCTTAATGTGCTTATGTACACTTTAGCACGGCGCACATACATATTCATGGCATCATAACCATCCACTTCATTATGAACGGCTGTTACAGAATGACACGGCTGAGGCATGCCTGTGTGAGTTAGACTCTCCATATACTCACTCATTCACGCTCACACACACACACACACACTCCCTCCCTCAAGACAAACTGATGAACTCAGCCTGGAGAGATGTAATGAGGCTGGAGGAACAAAGGATTAGTCGATTTGGAGGCTGGAAACACAGCAGAGTGACTGTGCACCGAGCTCGCAAACAATCGGGGTTGCAAAAGGGGGACTGGGTTCTCTCTGCTCTCGGCAAGAAGTTCAGGCGAAAATGTTCCTGTCATGTCTGCAGGTGACTCTCCCGTGTCCTCTTTGGGCCAAAGTGTGAAGTCTTAAGCCTTTGCTCAGAGTCTCTAGGTGCGGTATTAGACCTCGGATGCATTAACTCGAGGTCGTTGTCTCCAACCTCATCTTTTGAAAGTGCCACCGCTCCACGGGATAAAGGATTTGTGTCTGGAGTTTAGGTGAAAGCCTGTCTTTTGACTGTTTTTGGGCAAAGAACCCGCAATTATTGATAAATGAAATCTTCCAGTAAAACTGATTTATCACCCTTCGCTACAGCCGCTAATCATGAATAAGTGTTTGAGCTTCAGTGACTCTAATCTAAATAATTCAGCTGATTCTTGCTGCCGCGATTATACGCAAGATGATTGGCAGCTCTGATACAAAAATATCAGCCCTGGCATCAGCTAAGCCCATATTAGCTGAACTATTGTGCCGAGATCTACTCAGGGAAGCCGTGCACGTCGGCCCGGGCCAGGACGAGGAGTCTGTAGCTGTTGGGGCCTTATCTTTAAGTGTGATTTACCCCGGAGCCACTCTTGGCAGGGGATTTGAAGAGATGTCTGTGGGTGAGAGGGGGCAGACGCCGAATCATCACTCAGCAGGTCTTCGGCATCGCTTCCTGCGTGGAAAGCACAGCCGCGGCGGACAAACTTGCATTCATAAACAACCTCCTTCTTTCATCCTCAGTCACACGTTTTTTTTTTTTTTTTTTATCCGGTCGCTTCTCTCTCACACTCACATTACCAAGGAGACACCCAGAGTCGGCCCAAAACTCAAGAGGCCCTCCATGGTAATGACACAGCATGATATTCTTTTTTTATTGTCGATGGAGTGGCCTGCTTACTTTTAAAAAACAACTCTTCCCCTCCTCTGCATCACTAATAAACCCAAGAATACCATTTGCAGTTTACACATTGTAAGTTCTTATTAATTGAAGTCATTGTGTGCGATTGTTTCGAAAGCGGCCCGCGAGTGTTGGTTTCAGATCAATGGCTTCAAACGCAGGAAATAATTATTTTGCGTCGAGATGAAAGTCGGGGTACAGCAGCATAAACAGCCCGTGGATCCAGCCTTTTTTAATTAGTGCTGTGTGTCTCCTGCTCAGCGTGGCAAATTAACATCCACCATCGAGGATAAGTGATTGTGCTACGCGACGAGTGTGTGCGTTTGGGAGGTTGTGTGTTTGTTTAAAGGGTTCGTGTGCGCAGGAGGTCGGGGGAGAGCTGGCATCTGAGAAAACGTCCTGAATATGGATCACAAGATGTTACGTCCGATAAGCTGCAAGATTAGACCAAATTATATATTTTGTCAAAGTGTAAAGCAGATGCTCCCAGTTGCTGTTTGGAATCCTGGAATCGTTCTGTTTGTATTTCCTTTTCCAGTCTGCTTCAGTAAAAGTGTGATTTATTTCCAAATGTATTGAAAATATAGTTGGAAGTCAAATTGAGTGAATTTAAAACTTCCCTGCAGTCTGAAGTAGATGGATTTTTCAAAGGCTATAATTTTTAAATTCGACTGAACTCCATGCAGTTTCTGGGTGTTTGTTGTCACATTTTTACTCACTGTGGGCTCATTTTTCCCTGTAATATAAAGTCCTGCACATCTATGGAAACTAAACAGCCATGACTATAAGGAGAGAGAGCTCAGAGACGTCCTCTGTGCAGTACGCCACGTTTATAATGCCATAAATAATTAAAAAGAGGAAGAAGAAGGAGAATTTCTTTGGTTATTGATTTTTTGGAAATGGTAAAAAAAAAATACCTGGAATCAGCATGTCTGACAGTTTTCCAAGCTCCCCCAGGAAATACTGGCAATAAAAAGAGTGACTCTGTATGATATAGAGATTTAAATATTTATATTGGAAATTTGTTTTCATCTTTTTCTCCGGTCTGCTCTCTGAAGACACAGCCTGCAGTTCAACCGAATAGTCGCTGAATATTTATACCATGAAGTGCTGCTGATAGTTTTTTTGGTTGCGTCGAGGTTTTAGTTTTTTACAGAATTTGGTTATTGCAGAGGCTTTATTTTTGGCAAATGTTTAAATGAGACATCAAAGTGATTAAACTTGGATTTGGTTCATTTTCCCAACAGATCTGTACATGACTAGATTAGTTCAGTGCACTTTGGAAAGTTGAAAATCCAACAATCTTTTCTGTTTTTAAACCTTCTAGCTCTATATGGTGTAATTTCCCTGATTTTTTTTTTTTTTATCAAACCTTTCAGACCCATTTTTTTCCACCCCTGAAATATTTACAGATTATTCTGCTATGGGTATTTTACATCTTTGTCTCGTCTTTGTCTTCCAGGAATGCCCAGGTTTGCCAGCCAGCCTTCGGCGGCCACTGTGCGTCTCGGGGACAACCAGGTGATGGCGTGCGAGGTGAACTCAGATCTGGTGCCCTTCACCCGGTGGGAGAAAGACCGTCAGCCTCTCGAGCTGAGCCCCAGACTGGTCCAGCTGCCCAGCGGAGCTCTGGTTATCACCAACGCCTCGGAGGCCGACGCTGGCCTTTATCGCTGCCTGGTGGAAAACGTGGGCTCTTCCAAGGCCAGCGACGAGGCCCAGCTCCAGACACTGCCAGGTAATTTGAGGAAATGAAGATAGGGCAGACAAAGGATGAATTACTGCTCATTAGAAGCAGTGATAGTTGTAATTTCAGTCACAAAAGACGATGCTTAGTGAGATGATTTCAATACCGAATCATTTACCCTGCTTGTCAGCAGTTGTCACCTGTTAATCAAACGTTTCCACACCCTTGATTAGAGCTTTCACACTTATGTAGATCCTCTTGTGGCGTAAATCGAAATTAATATAGTCCAGTGCATCGTTTAATTACCGAGGTACACTGTGTTCTCTCCGGGTTGCTCATTACCTTTAGCATGAAGAGACCTGCCTCGCTGTGGTGAGAAATGGTTGAATGCTGAAAGGAGTGGTCAGATTCCCGTTGGGGTTATCAGCGACGCTACAGTAACTCAGCTGCATCTCAAAAGGAGTCCGAATTCCTTTGTGGCAGGGTCTTGTCTCGTCTCTACAAGTTTTATTTACTGAGTTGTTAAGCACCAGGCTCCTGCCAGCACAGAGAAGATATTAGAGGCCGTAAATCAGACTGCAACAAGACCCCAGTGGGGGGCTTCATCTCTGTTTGCCTCCTCTAAAGATGTGATGTGAAAAAAAAAAAAAAAAAGTTGGACACACAAAGAAGGAAAACTCATAAAGCTGTGTGAGGAAATTAAGAGAAATTTACTTTGGATGATACCAGATGTTGAAGCGACATTTTATAGTTATTTGTTTCGCAACAAATCAGCTTGGGATCAGCGTAATCTGGGTATTTCCAGAGAGAGACACTGCAAGAGAGTTTCAGAGATTTCTTTTAATTAAAATCCTGGTTTGAACTTCACGGAGATGATCTAAGCTAAACACAGTGATTTAAGATGGATCTTTGCTAAAATCCTCTGCATATGCTGGATGCTGGAAAATGCAGCTGGAATCATATGGAGCAGTTTAGCTTTCTGAGATAACAGCGTGAGCATTATTTTGTCAAAATGCATTTGGTTTAGGTGTCATGAATGGCTGCCCATCTGACCTGACTTCTTTTGAACTATGTCTGTGTAGATTCTCAGTTGCCCAGGTCAATGTAATCCAAAAAGCTTCTGTGGAATCAGATCAAGTTTATCTATTTGGCACATTTAAAAATCATGCTGTACATGTTGTCAGACAACAAATGTTTTGTGCAAACATCAAGACAGGGTCAAACTTAATTAAAATCAATTAGTAGAACAAAATAAAATAGCAAACAAGACTGAAACAGGCAAAGAGAATGGCAACTTCCAAGATCAGTTTCTAAAACACAAATAAATATGAAACATTAAGACCGTCACGAGCAGCCAAAAGCCATTTGAAACATACATCTGGAGGTTTTCCTTGAAAATATCAATGGAGGAGGAAAATTTAATTGAAAGAGGAAGGCTGTTCCAAAGCTTTGGAGCTGTTAATGCAAAAAACTCCCCTTAGCGACTATCCTTGATGGAGGAGCAGTTAAAAGCGGCTGTGTTCTGAGGATGTAGGAGGCCTTGAGGTAGAATAGAAATGTACTCAGACACCAACTCATGCATGACTTCATGAACAGAAAAGGCAACTGGACTTCTGTTTTTGGTTCTTGAAGTTGTTTCACTACACATCCAAGAGACTTCTTTACTTCTGAGTGGCTGATGGGGAGTCCTAGATACATATGATCACCCCAGATTGCATGTCTAATGGCTCATCTTCAACCAGAGGAGGAAGTGTATGACACAGCTTATCAGGTACTTAGAATGCAGTTTTGAGATAATTCCCCTAAAAGTTTCACGACCATTAACACCTTGAGTTGTCGCTGATCTTGCAGTTTCGCACCTGTTCACACCTCAAGGCACGAGAGTCTTGGGTTGTTAATGAGCCGGTAGCGATATGATTTTGAGGTGATGATGTATATCTGGGACTGATCACTGGTCAGAACTGATGAAGCCTGTTTGATGGGAGGTGGAGCATCTTCAGGAACCGAAAAGTGAACTTCAGATCTTCAGTACTAAGGGCCTGTTTGAGTTTTAGAGATGGTTTACACCCATTACAAAGAAGACCACCCCAACTTTAACCTCGGCTGCAGTCTGTTCACTGCAAGACTATTTTCCCTTATTGCAGAATAATAGTGTGGTGCAGCCAGACCATTGTGTTGTACAGAATGGGCCAGCAGAGCGAGACTACCTTAACCCTGACCTTCTATTTTTTTCTCCCATCTAAGAAACTGGGGAGGACAGGAAGCTGGAGTTCCTGGTGTCACCTGCACCTGTGGCCAAAGTGATGGGTGCCAGCGTTCTGCTGCCCTGCGTCGTCGAGGGTTTTCCTCCTCCACACATTCGTTGGATGTTTGGAGACAAGCTGCTAGAAGAAAGGTATGAGCCTCGGCTGTAGCACTTGATTCTTTTTCTACTCCACTCAATTTACACAAAAATTTAAAAGCAACTTAACCTGCTACAGGGTTCCTGGGGCATCTGTCGACTCTTACTAGTGCAGAACCTGCTGCACTTATCACCATTCAAACCCAATAGCTGCCAATCATTAGCGGTAGTTGCTCCAAAGCCGTAAACTGCTGAGTTTCTCTCGAGTCTCACGCATTCCTATCTTTTGAAAAGCGGCAGAGACTAATGTATCACCCCTTTGTACCCTGCGCCTCTGGCCTCCAGAAGCTAAACTGTTAGTACTGGCGCCTGCTCCCCAAGGTGTAAATGCTATTCTGCCACTGCTACCCAGAAAGCCCCGGGGGGAGACCTGGACGTGCCAACGGAGCCACTTCATCTGGGAGGCCGGGCTGTAGGGTTGCCAGCAGAGGGGAAGTTCACAAATTAAGAGCCAAGACAGAGTGTCACAGCGCCTGTGCTCTCGCTCCTCTGGCTCTCATTAGCTCAGCCAGTGCAGCTCAAATCCCTCGGAGAGAATTGCATCGGACACAGGAAGTTTGATTCTCACCAATTAAGAAAGCAGTTTGTTTACCTAACCCCTGTGTGCCAGGCTTGTAGAATAATAACTTTGGAACTCGCAGGGGTCAACAGAAAATCGCCAAGATTGGGGCTCATTCATCTAAATGCAGCTCGGAGTGGGACTTCCACCTTCAGCGAAATTAAATGTAAGGTCGTAACACTGGTAACCACAAGGCTCCGCTGTGGTGTGAGCTGGAATATCATTAGACCTTCCAACCTCCAGCTCCAAGCACAGCTCCACATCTCCAGTCTTTAATGCCTGCGGAATTGGTTGTGAGTGTTCTGACCTCCTGAGGGAGCTGGCTAAAAAGGTACTTATTAATCTACCTTGTATTAATTACAAAACAATATCCAGCGTGCAAACCCGGCCCCCTCAAGGGCGTTTCCATTAGTAATTAGCAAGCACAGTGAACAACCAGGGAAGAGGACCCCGGTGCTCCAGCCTTCAGCGGAGAAATGGGATTGTGCAGCGAATACATTAACCGAGACCGCTCCTTTGATTTTAATACGACATTGACAATTAGAAAGAATAGCCGTGGAATCTTCTTTTTCTCCTTGAAAGTGTCCCGTCCCTCTCAGGCATTACATGAGAGACAGAAGAACTGCTGTCAATTTTTTTTTTTTTGAAAAAATGGCGTACAGACTAAGGGAGACGGAAAGGGGGAATCTGCAAAGAGCGCCTAATTGGTCGTTGGTGCACAGTACAAACACGGCCTTGAAAGTGGCATCGCTGAAGCCGTAGACACGAGATGAAAGTTGATGAAGACGTGTCAGAGCTGCCCATTGAAGGCAGGGTGACTCACTGACGGCCGGGATTATCACGTCGAGCTTCTGTCGCCGATGCTTCAGCTCGTCTCTTGTTTTCTTTCCGCCGCTCTGTGAGTCTGAATTCACAACAGCAGACCAGCAGATAATGCAGGTGAATCACTGCGAGTGCAACATGAAAGTAGTTTTTTTTGAGACAATTCCTTATTCTTGGATGTCTAATTCCCCCCCGTAATTCTTTGCCAGTCATTCCACTGACTGACTGACTCACCAGAAGTACTTTTAACTTTTTTAAAAGGATCCTTTTAAAGACACAGTAGAGTCCTTCAAAAGTCTTTTCACATTGTGCCATATAAAGGATTTCTGTCTTAAGTTCTTTTGAAGAGTCTCATTAGTATGTTATTCATAACCTGTCAGAAGACAGACGTTGCCGTTTCGCTCATATCACTCGTCCGTATTTCCATGTAGGTCTTATCAGCTGCCGTAGAAGTCTTTGATGTCAGTGTTGACAGATGGGGACAGAGCAAAGACCTGAAATGGAAATGAAGAACAGGTGGTTGTCTCAGTTGTTGATAAGTTGATTTCTCTGTGTTCTGTGTGTATCTGTTCTAGTTCAGTTTAGTGTTCTTGCATCCTTCTATACAGTGTTTGTCTCTGCTGGGATGGTCATGCTGTCAAATTAGGGGAACTAATGTGATCTAGAAGAGACTTGGGATGTTTGATATGAAAACTGATACTTTGGTCGATGCTGAAATTCTGAAAACATGACAACACCAAAAGTGCTGTAGGAACCGTGGAAGCTGTTGATCCTGAAGATACTGAACAACAACCTGCAGAATACGGGAGGCAGGTGCTGCTGCAGCAGCAACAGGTCAGCTGCACTTCTGGATGAACACCACACCAGGTCGTGTGGGTCAGGAAGATGTTATGGACAACAAAAATCCAGGACTGCTGTTACAGAGCATGTAAGACAAACTGAGGAGACGCCTCAGACTTAATGCAGCTCAAAGACGAACATCTGGATTAGTGCTTCAACAGTTTATCAACTATTATATTAACTGGCAACTGATAAAAACAGTCAGAAGTCTCTGATTACAGCTTCTTAAATTTGAATATTTTTTTAAAATTCTTTTCACCCTGATTGACTTAAAACTGAAAATCTTTGAGTTGTGGACAAAACAAGACTTCTGAGGACGTCATCTTGGCCTTTGGGAAACACTGATAAACATTTTTCACCATTTTCTGACATTTTATAGACCAAACAACTAATTAATTAATCAATTGAGAAAACAATCATCAGATTAATCAACAATGAATATATTTCAAGCTGAGGGATTTTTAGTTATTACTTTATGTTAATAACATGTTGTCACAGTGTTGACGTCCTGAAACATCACTGTTGGTGTTTGTGTTGTAGCAACGCTCCACATGCAACGTTCACAAAGCCTAACGTTAGCTCGTTCAGAATCACAGCTCAGAAGTTAAACTGGTTACAGCTTATAATGTTAGCAGACTACTGTCAATACTGTTCCGTCTGTCTAAATATTTAATATAAAAGGGGGGAAGCAAGTTTGTATTAAATGAGACTTTGCTTTGAAGTGCATTCATTTGATTGATTTGGGGTTTTTGGTGTCAAATTTGGTATGGACTATTGGAAATTGTGTAAATTCAGTGGTATTTGTGCCAACATTTCCAGTCTCATGACCAGTCATAGCCAGTAATGTACTTTGTTTATATTGTTTACAACTCTTCATTTTTTTCTGTCATACCAACATTTTGCTCTGCAGTAAACATAAATGATTAATTCTGATTTTTTTTTTTTTTCTAAGCATAATTTTTTGCTTTCCAATCCCTGTTAGCTACCAAAAGTAGGGGATTCTTTGTGTGGAAACTATTCAACTCAAGTATCTACACAGCGTGTCATGAATGAAAGATCGATATGGCGGTACCCATTACACTCTTCTTCTGACTTATTCTGCTGTAACATGCTGTTTAGTCATTCACCAGCGTCCTGATCCTTTGCCTCGGAGTCGTTTAGGCTCAGAGCAAGTCTATCGCCAAGGACACCGAGCTGGCCATTTATTGTGATTAATCTCAGCAAGGCCACGACAGAATATATAACACTTGAAGCTGTTCAGTCAACACGTTTAAAAATGCATTCTTAGCAAATGCCCTGCTTGTCATCGATATCGTCCCCAGGTGCCTTTATGCGCCGGGACACAGGCCTTTGGATTCCTCATTCATACTGGTCCTGATGACACTCATGAAAAGGACAGTCATCTTTTGTTCTTGGGAGTATCACTCTATCACCTAATAGAATTCCCCAGCAGTCAATAAAACGGATGAATTATGCATGTCGGCCAGCAACGGGGAATTGACAGAGCATGTAAATCAACCCTCTCCCAAAGCCTCCAAGTCATCCGTCTCCTCTCCTCCTTGTCTCCTCGCATTCATTTAAATATGATTGTGTATATATTGCGTTTACTTGTGTATGAAGAGAGGAGTTTGGTGTGGGAAATTTGTTTGCGATCGGACAGCAGTGGCAACCTCTCGTGCATATGTCGAGCACGCAGACACGCATCCCGCCTCGTTCACTCGACTGTTCCTAGGTGACAAAAGGCAATAAATATGAACGCGCACACACAAACGTATACATGCAGAGCAACACTGCCGTCCACGTCAATTTATTGAAGACCAGAGTGACATGAAGAAAATGAAAAACGGCTTGTTGTCCCCGCCGCAGAGCAGCACTGTTAAAAGTAAGAGGCCACAAATGTTCAAAGCGCTTACATCAAAGTCATACTGGTCTTTACCTTTTTCCAAAATCTACCAGTAGGTTTAAATACAAACAGCAAGCAATTAAAATTGTTTTTCTCTTCCTAGCTAATATTCCTCTAGTGTACGCTCTAGCAGCAGCGAAAGATGCAGTGAAAATGTTAAGAATGTGTAAATAAATAAGTACACAAGTGGATATTGTACACTTTTTTTGACATATCTAGGCAAAGTAAACATTTGATCCTCTTTGATAAAGTTCTTACAGATAAAGGCGAACAATTTCAAAGCAGTGCCTTGTACGTTTCAGTGGAATTCTTTATAAATCTTTGATAATGTGGTACTAATGATAGCGAAAATAGCGACCGTGTTCAGCTGCCAGTCCACAGCAAGCCTGACAGACATGCAAAAATGTAATATTTGTGTACTTGAAAGTATATTATTCAACATATATGGACAGTAAACTGATAAATGAATGATGAATGGAATAATACAAATAGCGATATCATGTGTTATTCAACCATCAGTGTGTGTTTTTATGCGTTCTCACATTTTCCGATGCAGCAAAATAATCTGTAAAAGATGAGAGATAAAGCTGATATTCAACAAAAGTATTACTAGATATGAAGTCTAAGTTGCCAAGAATCTGGCATTGCCCCGTTTAGCAAATAAAACTCCTTATGAAGGTCATGCATAGTTTAGAAAAACAACAAAATAACAGAAAACCCCATCAGAGGAGGCGGACACTTCTGTATTGGCAAGCATTGTGGAGGTTTAGCCACTAAAGGATAAAGATTTTAATGAGGTTTGCTGATCTCAGACCTTGAATTTAACTGGGATAAACAGGGACAGCATTCCTACATCTAAGTAGAACAGCT